ACACACACACACACACACACACACACACACACACACACACAGAAAGAGAGAAAACTCATAAGTAATCAGTTTGGAACACTCTACATTAGCAGCAACTTACACAAATAGAATTTGAGACTCAACCCATCACAAATTATTACAATAGAGTTGCTATTTATATTAAAGGAATTGTTCACCCAAATATGAAAATTTGCTGAAAATGTACTCACCTTCAGGTCATCCAACATGTAGTTGAGTTTGTATCTTCATTGCAACAGATTTGGAGAAATTTAGCGTTACACCACTTGCTCACCAATGGATCCTCTGCATTGAATGGGTGCCGTCAGAATCAATTAACAGCTTGTGAAGCAAAAAGCTGCATGTTTGTAAGAAACAAATCCAACATTAAGACGTTTTTAACTTCAAACCATAGAGTCATCTATCCATAATATTGCTTTCTCCAATGAAAAAGTTTGAATCAGGAGAGAAATATGCACAGATCAGCAACGTTGTGCTGTTGAGAAGACAACAGGGGATGAACTTTTTCACTGATGTAAACATTATTATGGATTACGGACTGGTATTTCAGCCTGAAGCGATGCTTTATAGTTAAAATGCCTTAATGATGTATTTGTTTCTTACAAACATGCAGCTTTTCACTTCACAAGATGTTAATTGATGGATTGGAGTTGTGTGGATTACTTGTGGATTATTGTGATGTTTTTATCAGCTGTTTAGACTCTCATTCTGACGGCACCCATTCACTGCAGAGGATCCATTGGTGAGCAAGTGATGTAATGCTAAATTTCACCAAATCTGTTCCCATGAAGAAACAAATTTATCTACATGTTGGATGGCCTGAGGGTGAGTACATTTTTTCTGCAAATTTTCATTTTTGGGCGAACTATTTCTTTGAAGATACACCAAATAATGTTCTTTTTAGCAACATCATATGACCCCTTTAATATAATACAACATTATCTTTATTCAATTATTTTCATGTATTGAATGAATTGCATTTATAATCAACAATATTCCTGTTTCATCTGTCATCTTGGATGGATTTTGTTCATTTCAGGAAAAAAGAGAGAGAAAAAAAAGGCTAAAGATCAATACATGCCCTGCTGGTCTGTTTAAATTAAAGACAGGACTTTTAATAGCTCAACCTACAAAGACAAACAAGAATCACATAATTGATCACTGTCTGGTACCACACACACACACACACTTATGTCACCTGTTTTACGTGCATTGAGTCAGCATACAGCATTGTCAAGAGAGAGCCTCTGCATGAGGTTTTGCCTACATTATAGAAACCAAGTGTGCACAAAAATAAAAGTAACCTGCAATCAGTCTAAATATGCGTGCTAGGGTTAAGTAATGTGTTAGAAAATCCAAGAAAATTTAAAAAGATTTCTGTGAGGGTTAGCGGATAGAAAACATAACTAGCTCATTATGAAACCAACTGAACTCAATGGAAAGTCCCCACCATGACCGAAAACAAATGCGTTTATGCTCTGGAAAGCTGTGAAGTTGCCAACACATGATCCAGGCCGGAAGTGTTTGGATTTTGATAGGATTTATATTACAACCTTTAATAACAATACCTGAAATACTAGAAATATATAATCTGATTATGTATTCATATTCATTTTGATCAATGTAGTTAATGAATGAAACATCATATATTTTGATAGGATCTATATGCAAAACATTTAATAACAATACCTGTATTGCTAAAAATACATAATCTGATTACAATTATATTCATTTTGGATGGATTGTGGAAAGAAGTTGTTGCAGTCTGGCTGTGAGGGCCCAAATGATTGGGTACCTTTTTCCAGATGGCAGGAGTGTGAAGAGTGTGTGTGATCGGCCACAATGCTGGTGATTTGCTGATGCAGCGTGTTGTGTAAAGGTCTCTGGAATCTTGCACATTTTCGATGAGATTTTGACATGAAAAAAGCATAACACACATTAGCTTATCTCAACTTTGACAAAGTCAATAACAAACTTAAAATGCTCTAGAGTAACGTGACGTAAACCCACGAACAAGAACTGTAATAGAACAAAGCATTAATTATATTAAAAATAATACATTTGAAACATAAAGTGGCTTCATCACAAAGCCCATTTCCAACACCCAATCTAAAACGTAATCGAACTGTCTGCATAAAAATACTAAAAACAATAAAAGATAACAACTACTTTAACCTTCAGTAGTAAAATGTGAAAGACATGCACATAATAGATATTTATAAGATAACCATTTAACTTAATATATAAATTAATAGTTCACCACATAAGAGACACTTCCGGCCTGGTTCGTGTGGCCTGAAACGTGTAGCAGGATACTACTACATTGCTTTGCTGCTAAACATCCTTTAGAATGAATCACGTCATTTGCTGGTGATATAACACTATTATAATCCAAGACAAATATCCGTAATAGGTTGGACTGTTTGCTGAAACTTCATCATAAGATCAAATACAGCTCTATTGTGATGGGTTTTTTATGATTATGACTGTGAAGTGAAATTGGCTGGTTAAGAGATACATCATTTGAATGTCACAGTTTAATAAAGATTTATAGTTAGTTACTAATTTGCTAATTATGAGTTGCTAGTAATTTGCTAGTTTTTATGAGTTGTGATTTATCATCCCCATTCATGCATATTATTGAACTTTTATTTTATATCAAGGTCAAATGATTGAAACCAAAAGGTCATTGGCAGCTGCACTGATCTGAGACAAAGAGATACAATCATTCTAGTGGATTATTATATTAAAACACCCTGTAAGACAGAGCTTTATACTTGTATGGACTCCAGCAAATATACACAGTGCGACACTGTAAACATCACAGAGCTGATTAAACCCTTCGCTTACTTACTGATGTTTGTGTTGTGGACTCTTTTCAGTGGAAAGGAGCTAAAGCCCGCTTGAAAAGTCGCTGATTCTCAATAAAACTTTTTTCATGGATACACACACACACACAAATATATAGTCATAATCACTGACAGCCACTCCAGTCAGTTACACCTAATTACATGAATGTTTGTGAAGTATATGAAGAAAGAGAGAGAAGTGGAGGAAGGACATGTATTCTATTTACCCAAATTTTATTCAAACCTGTCAATGTAGTTATGGTGTTTATTGAGAATGTTTTCATCTGAATTAGTTGATTTGGTCCAGCCAATAATTCACTGTACTAGCTTCACAGGAAGTCCAGTGCACTCTAGTGTGCATAAAGAAATACTACACAATAATACATCTGATTTGATTAATGAGGATGAAGAAATAAACAGCTGTTAGACTACAGCTCTCATATAATGTAATGCCTTTGGTTTTTACTGAGAGCTGCACATCGAGACATTTCCCTTTACTCAGAAATACAATTGAGATACAATAAATTGGCAGTGTGACTGAATATGCGCGCTTTAAAAAAAAAAGTCAAATGCAGTTAATTTTTACCTTAACTTTGTATTCTATTATTTAAATGTACAATATACCAGGGACATCCGCATTGATTCAACAGTTAAATCAGCATAGAAAGCGTAAAGGTGAAGTGTGTCACTTCTGAACCATTAGTGGTATAAAATGGAAAAGTTACCAGTTTGAGAAGCCAGTAACCAATGATGTGGGTTTGACCAATGAAAGATGGACATGTGTTTTGACAGTGATCAATATTTTTTTCAATTCTGTTTAGTGCTGCTGTTGGCACAGAAATGATACACTTGACCTTTAATTAACAGATGTTAATTGGAGGCTGGTACAATAGCAAAGGGTGAATACATGGATATGTGCTAGTATGGATTAAGTCTCGCTGAATGCACTCAAAACATACAAGAACAGCTACAAAGAAACAGACACCTACTCAGTGTAGCATCTACAATCCCTCCCAGAACCAAAAGTGACGCTAACAGAGGAGTCTTTACTGGAATAGTGAATTATGATTATAACTGCAAATTTACAAAGGCTCAGATAATCAGACCTGCATAAACATGATTTACAAAGATATGCAACAACAACAAAGAACAACAAAAAAAGGGTGACTCATTTCTAGAAGAGAGACAATTAAAGCGACAGAGACAAAAAATAAAGTGTTGAGAATTTTGGAGATACAGATGAAATGCTTAGACCCTCTGTTTATTACAAACTGACATCATATGATAATATTGCAGCATGGAGCTTTCTTCTGGCTATAGTTTTAGCAAGAAACAACAGAAGAGGAGTAAACAGCTGTGTGATACATCATGTGAGTGTGTGCAGATGTTGTAGATCCCGGTTAGAAGAGTCTGGCTTTCTTCTTCAGTTCATTGCGTTTCCACAGAGGTAACCTACCGAATTCCTGAATTTCCATCCCAAAGATTTCAAAGAACATCTCTGGAGCCAGATGGTGCTAGAAATGCAGGTGAAAAAGAGCAAAAATCACTCCAAAAATATTTAAGCCTAATTTATAAAATAACCATCCATTTGGAAGACAATAGTTCAGATTGGTTTTAATATAGGCAAACTAATAAAACTAAGGCCACAAAGGCAAAAAAAAAAAAAAAAATGCAATTGTTTATATCACAATTTAGACTTCAGTCAGAAAGAATTCTGAGTTTATACCTTGCAATTCTGACACTTTTGCTCAGAATTGCAAGATATAAACTCAGAATTCTTTCTAACTTCTTTTCTCGCAATTCCGAATTCTGACTTCTTGTTATATCTCTTTTTTTTCCTCAGAATTCTTGTACTTTTTTCATTGCTACGTTTTATTACACAATTCTGATTTTTTTTTTGTCCTTGTAATTGAGTTAATATTTCACAATTCAGATTTTTCCACTCAGAATTGCGAATTTATAGAGTTCACATCTTGCAATTCAGTTTTTTTCCCTCTCAAAATTGTGACAAAAAGTCAGAATTGTGATATATAAACTCAGAATTGCAAAAAATAAAATAAAATAAAAAGTCAAATATTGAATTATTTCTTTATTTATCCTGTGGCAGAAACAGACTTCTACATAAAATTCATAAATGAAACAGGAAAGTTTTCTGCTCTTAAAAAAAAAAAAGTTTGCATCTATTTGATTTTATTTAAATAAATAAAAAATCGTATTTTCAAAATGCAATTATTCAAATTGCGTAGAATCATCATAAATATTTTTAAATTCAGTTAAAAGTGAACATAGTTAAAATATGGCAAAATCTTCAGTTTAATTATTGGGTTAACTATTAGGTTAAGTACTATTCCAGAAATCTTACTCCTTTCCTACCGATTTCATTTATGTATGAGTGACAAATATGCATCACATTACGTTTATTAGTCTGTTAATGTAAAAACTGTGTTATCCAAATTTGGTGGAAATTTAACCTGCAATTCAAATACAAAAATTCTAAAATCTTTAAGCCTAAATATTTTTCTGAGTGGGCATTTTGGATATATCATAATGCAAAGTTTTGTTGCACAAATACTGTGAGAAATTACCTCTAGTCTGGTTCTGTCCACATCTCTGGGCAGTTTGGAGCGACTATGGCTGGTCACCATAAGCATTTCATATGGATATACCTTCAAACGAGACATATCAATCAGTACAAAAATGCAAAATCTGCACAAACTCTTTTTAATGTTCGAAATGTAGGGTCTAATAAATCAGGCTGCATAGTTACAACACATCCAAGTAACTCACTGAATGCTGAACAGCCTAATAATTAAAATCATATTAAATATCAGATAATTTTATGCTAGTTTAATATGTTACACTTGCTTTTGGTTCCAGCATATTAGGCATGGACACTCCTCTGTCCATTCTGGTGGCTGTACGGTGGCCATCATGCATGGGCTAGAAACAAATCATTAATAGAAAGAGAAGCTAGTACTTAATGAGAGGTCAACTGTATCTTTCAATCTGATTTCACATCATGTAGGACGAATGAGTATGAACATGTATTTTAAAGAATTTAACATATTATTATAATAAGGATGCAATAAAGATACATGGAAACACACAGAGTGATTCAAAACGGTAATCTACATACCTGAAACTCTGTTAAAAAGAAAGAAAGAAAAAGATTTGTTTTTATATTTATACATTAAAATAGCCACTTTGTGAAATGCTAGCTATCTCAGTTTCTGCACTGCATGATGCTTTATCGTCTATATGAATTTATACTACTTCCACAATATATATGACTGTGATTATTATTGCTCTCATTACATATTAATGTATGTAATTAAAGTTAAACTAAAGATGGATGGAACCAACCTCTCATCCCACCGCACACGTCTCCGTAACTGTTATACTGAGTGAAATCAGTTGACTGAGGCTGGAACAAAATATACATTAGAAACAGACAAAGTGGGCTGAATAATATATCTTTTATCATTATTATATTATATTATATTAAATACTGAGTGACAATAATAAAGGGATCTTACCCGATGCAGTCCATTTCGCCCGTATCCAGGCAGTGAGCCTGTTTTAGAGGCTGAATTTCGATCTGCAATTTTAATAATATTGAACACATTCACTATGAAAAAAAATATTTGTTCAATAATGCACATATATATAGTATATGTGTAAGCATTATTTTTAATATACTTTTCAAATTTATTTAAAATATGCAATATAATATATATTTTAATATGCATTTCATTCCATTAATGCTGATTCTTTAAAGGGATACTCCACCCAAAAATTAAAATGGAAAATTCTATCATTAAATTCAAATTACAATTGTGCATCCTATTTGCTACCTCGATTAAAATTCAGGAATTCAGTTGGAATTGTAAATTCTCAATTATATTCTGAATGGCCCTGTTCCTTAATCTTGAAGAAAGTCAAGATACAGAACAATGAGCGTCTAATATGCAATCTATTGTACTGAGGAGCATTACTGCTTCCATGTTCGTAGCGTTGTGCTGACAGGCTCCGTGCATGACGTTCTCTGATCATCTCTTTCGCCATCTCCTCTTTAAGAATCATTTTCCCCAAACCAGATTGGATCTGGAATCAGAAACAAGAATCATTTTAGACTTTGTGTTGCATTGTTGAGCAGGTTGCATCATTCTTTTAGTTACAGACATCTCCTAACCTTGCTGAGATGTTCCTCCTGAATCTGTCTGCGTTTCTGGAGCTCCTCCTCGTCCTCCTCTCTTGACCTTCTCCTCCCGTCTGTTCCTGAGCACCACCACCACAACAACAAAAACACATTAGTAGACACACACACACACACACACACCGGAAGAGCTAAAGCAAACGACTGAGTAAGGACTAACCAATCTGTGCTATGAGAAATGCTGCATTAAGCGGAGTCTGTTTTTATATGATGAATCAGACTTATCATCTTATTTTTTCTACCTTCTGATATTTACAGAACTACAGTCTACAGAACATAAATGAAATGATCACTTGTGTATTGCAAGAAAAATGATTACACATTAACACATGGACAGAAAGACGACACAAACCTTTGAAGTCAATCTCAGGAGCCGCCCAGCTAACAAATATATGTTCTAAGAACGTTTTGTTAATGTTCTCATTAAGCTATGAAAATATTATTTCTGAATGTTCAAAAAATCTAGTTTTTAAAACGTTTTAAAAACATGTTTTCTTGGTTATGCGAATGTTAAGGGAACATTCCATTTGACAACCATCATGTGAATGTTACTTTCTGAAACAAGTAGTAATGTGAAAAAATGGCTAACCTTTTGAGAACACAAGAAGGGTTTGAACAAATGCTCTATTAGCGTTATTGGAAGAGTGTTTGTTCATAACTTTGAGAGAACCTTGCCAGAATGTTCTGAGAATGTTTTCTGTTTTACGTTTTTTTTTTGGTGTTGAATTGGTTTAAACATTAAATTACTAAAAAATGTTATGTTTAAACCAATGGGTTTAATCCAAATGAAACCCTGCTGCTCGTGACGACACATTGATGTCCTAAGACACGAACCGGATAAGCGCAAGTAAGTACCATTTTGATTAGCCGTCGTACCTACAATGTTTGTGCACTGTGTAAACAATGAGTGACGTATACGCGCGAGAGATCACTTCCGGCGCTTGCTTAAACTACGCCAGAGAGCGTACACACCTCACGCACCGGATGCCTGCGCGTGCTCAAAGACAGTTGGACATAGTGGTGCATTAGAGGTAAAAAATTATATAAATAATGTTCGGTTTCTGGCACAAACCCATCGTTTCGTGTCTTAGGACATCAATGTGTCGTCACGAGCCGCAGGGTTTAATTTGGATTTGTCTGTGCATGTTTTTTTTACTCTCATAGATTTTATTACCATTGCCATGCATTATACGACCGATAGACTGCAACGGTTAAAGTTAAAAATCATCATATGTGTTCTACTGAAGAAACAAAGTCACCTACATCTTGGATGCCCTGGGGTAAGCAGATAAACATCAAATTTTCATTTTTGGGTGAACTATCCCTTTAAATACTAAAATACTATACTGAAATACTATTACTATTTAAGTCTTTCTACTTCAAAAATTCATGTTTAATTCAGTGTGTTACTTGCTGTTTCTTTGTAATTATTTGTGAAATTTACTAGCAATTTCTGAATGAAATTTTTCCTACACCACATTATTTTCAGTGAAGAAGCAGCTTTAGTAATACTAGCATTTTACTGTATCTACACAAATTAATATTATTATATTTTTTTTTTTTGTGAAACACCCCTCAATTGTGTTTCACAGAAGAAGAAAAAATAACAATACAGAGTCTAAAAAACATGAGGGTGAGTAAATGATGGTAATTTTTCGATTTTGGGTGAACTGTCCCTTTAAGGCAGAAGCAAGGAGACTTTGGGAACAGATGTATCATGGGTGACCACAGTACCTAGGGCAGCATGGGAGATCGGGGAGGACCAGCAGTCTGTCTCTATCTTTGCTGGGTAGTCTGGACCAGAGGTGTACGCCGAGGGGAATTTGGCGGATTTGATGATGTCATCAGCAGACTTACTCTGGGCTGCAAAGGCAGCTGAATCTAGATCAATAAACCAGGGGGAGGCTGTGAACCATCAGTGTGGCTAGACCAACATCTAACCAACAGATAGCAGAAAATGCCTGCTACAAGCCATATGTGGCACATGGTCAGGGGTTTAAGGCCAATGATAACCCACACTCACTTTTTACAACATATAAGAAGCAGTATTTAGTATTAGAGGCTATTGGTTGTCTGCTTGCACGCTAAACATGCATAGCTGTATCATAAATCAATCAGCCAAAATAAGCCATGCAGCAATCTGACAAACCATCACTGGCTTCAGAACACATAGCATGAGTGTTAACATGCAGACAGTGGGATCCGACCTGCTGAATCCATCTACGGACGACTATAGCAACTTTAAAGGGGTCTTATCATGAAGAATCCAAATTCTTTTTGAGGTAAAAGAGTTTAATGTGCTATGAAATCATACAGTAACAGTCAGAAGAAAAATGTCCACCATGATAAAAAAAGGCAAATGAAACTAAGCTGAAATAAAAACCCCTCTTTTTCTAAATTTACTGACATCAGACTGATTAATAAAAATGATCACTGCGATATTTACAATATTTTCAATAGTATGGATGAAGACACATTATACCAAAACACCAGATGTAACAATGAATAACTAGTAAAATATGGGAATTTCGGCCAAACATTGTGCTGTTCCTGGCTGTGTTTAGCAGTGCTATTATCATTATTATAATTATTTTGTTATTTTTGAATATTTTGAATTAAACTTTTGCATTTTTTAAGTAAATTAGTTGTATATTTGTTTGTTATTTGTCTAAATATGTTTAATTAATATTTTATTCCAGTTTTAGTCATTTTAATACATCAAGTAAAACTAAATGAAAATGAAAAATTTTGCTTTGGTAACAGCTAAAATAAAATCATTTTTATTTTATTTAAGTTAACGTTTATTTTATTTGGAGTTTTAGTTAACTATAATAACCCTGGTGTGTAGCACCTACAGCACTGCATTTGGCAATAGAAATGAGCAGTTAAAGTTTATTTTTAACAAGATCCCATATCATTTTAGGCTGATCGTAACAAATTTAGCCACACATGCAGATTCAGTGGAGATTATTTAGGGATGGAGTAGAACAATATGAACTCAACAGCAAACCTGCAGCTCGTAAGCAAGAGCAAAAGCATTGTATCTCATTTCACATGCAAAGAAGGCATTTACATACAGGGAACAGCAGGAAAATGAATTAAAACAACAACAAAAAACAAGAACATAAACAGCTAATTCGATTCTAAGGGCCAGAGAGGAAGTGGAAAATTGTCAACTTATAATATCTTGGCATAGATATTATATATTAATATTATAAGTGGAACTTATGGGAAAAAATAAACAATAATAAACAAAATTGTATGACAACGACCCCTTTAAATGTCAACGAATTTAAGATTTAGCCCAAACTAATTTTTTTCATTCTTTTTTAAAATTATATTTCAATACTTGTTGACAAGCAATAATACTAGGCTGTCATTTTTAAATGCAACAATGTAATCTTTAAAAAAAAAAAAAAGCAAATATGATATGATATTAAAGGTCTGGAAATAAGGGGCCAGTAAATACATTAGCTGATACTATGCATATCTAACTTTAGAAAATCTTGCAATTTTTTTGCAAGTTTTGATATTTATGAATATGAATGAAAGTTCATAAAGCACTCATCAGGAGAAGATGCTTTAATGATGATTGATTTATCAGTTGATTAATATTTATAGTGAAATGAGCTCAGTTGAGAAGACTTCAAACAATACTTACATGTTTACATTGAGGTGGTGTTTAATGGCACACAAGCAGATATTAATGAGGTGGAGGGACTCACAGTTTCCAAATAAAAGCAAACAAACAAAACACAGAAATATGGTAAAATGACATACAAACATATTCACAGTCATGACGTGAAATATTCTGAAATTCCTTGACTTTGATTTTCTCTCTGGCTGCTAGTTTTGGTTGTTAACTAGTTTACCAATGTACACTCTAAAAAATGCTGGGTTGTTTCATCCCAATTTTGGGTCAAATATGGACTAACCCACCTCCAGTAAATACATTAGCTGATACTATGCATATCTAACTTTAGAAAATCTTGCAATTTTTTTGCAAGTTTTGATATTTATGAATATGAATGAAAGTTCATAAAGCACTCATCAGGAGAAGATGCTTTAATGATGATTGATTTATCAGTTGATTAATATTTATAGTGAAATGAGCTCAGTTGAGAAGACTTCAAACAATACTTACATGTTTACATTGAGGTGGTGTTTAATGGCACACAAGCAGATATTAATGAGGTGGAGGGACTCACAGTTTCCAAATAAAAGCAAACAAACAAAACACAGAAATATGGTAAAATGACATACAAACATATTCAGTCATGACGTGAAATATTCTGAAATTCCTTGACTTTGATTTTCTCTCTGGCTGCTAGTTTTGGCTGTTAACTAGTTTACCAATGTACACTCTAAAAAATGCTGGGTTGTTTCAACCCAATTTTGGGTCAAATATGGACTAACCCACCTGTTGGGTTAAAAAGTTAATTTAAAAATGTAACCAAAATTTAACCCAACAGTTGCTGAATAAAACTGTGTAAACAGACTTTAACAGTAAACAGAACAGCTAGTTGCTCAACATGTGTGCTTTAATGCTTGCAATGATGAAACTATATAGTCATTTTAAATACAATCCATAAAATGTAGTAAATAAATACAGGCAAGCATTTTAAGAACTCAATCAGATGCAGTCTTCACAATGCAATACTTATAGGAATAGTTCACAGAAAATGAAAATTTGCTGAAAATTCTCTCACCCTCAGGGCATCCGAGATGTACAGTAGATTGGTTTGTTTCTTCATCAGAACAAATTTGGAGAAATGTAGCATTACATCACTTGCTCACCAATGGATCCTCTGCAGTGAATGGGTGCCGTCAGAATGAGAGTCCAAACAGCTGATAAAAACATCACAATAATCTACAAGTAATCCACACCACTCCAGTCCATCAATTAACATCTTGTGAAGTGAAAACTTGCGTGTTTGTAAGAAACAAATCCAACGTTAAGATGTTTTTAACTTTGAAACTGTTGCTTCCGGCTAAAATATGAGTCCTCTATCCATAATATTGCTTTCTCCAGTGAAAAAGTTGCCTTGTCTGAATCAGGAGAGAATTATGCACAGAATAAGCACCGTTTACAAGCCAAAACAGTCCTAAACAAACAGTTCTAAACAAATATGTTGGTTTTGATGTGAGAGGACAACAGGGAATGGACTTTCACTGAAGGAAGTGTTATTATGGATTATGTACTCGTATTTTGGCCAGAAGCGACCACTAAATTAAGCCGTTTACACAGTATTTTCAATAAAAAAAATAAACAAACTATCTATAGGGTTAATCTTTTTTACAGAATTACAGAAAATAAGGTCTTATTTAATTTTTTTATTGTTTGTTTGAGCTTTATATTCAATTCACAAGTGAAGAAACAAACTTATCTACATCTTGGATGGCCTGAGGGTGAGCAAATCTTCAGCAAGTTTTCATTTCTAGGTGAAGTATTCCTTTAAAAACAGTGATTCCCAACCAGGGGTGCCTGGTGTGCCTCAGGGTGTGCTTAAAAATTTAGATTTTGCATTATAAAAAATGTAAGCCTTTATCCTTTAAGTTGCAGCTTCTCATCAAAATTTGTACCAATGTATTTGCTGTTATTTCTGATATTTCATAACTCTATGGCATTTCAGTTTCACCATACACAGAGTGCAAATTACTTTTATTTTGAAAAAAATTATATATTCTAATTTTTTTAATTCAGTTACATAATAAGGTAGACTGGTCTAATTTGAATCTAAAAATGAAGACTTGACTAACTCCTAGTTGGTCTTAACAGTTGGTGCCTGGACCCAGGAGTCTCACTGAAGATAGAGGAAACAACCTGGTTACAAAGTGAATCATAATAATGAGCATTTAAATAACATTAATGATAATGCTTGCTAAACGATATCCAGTATAATATGAATTATGGTGTTAGTGACTTAATACGGAGCTGTGTGGGTACATAAGACGGTTGGGAAACACTGCTTTAGTGTATATTATAAATCATCAGGCATACAGTATGTCAAAATTCTAATCATCTATTTATTGTGAAATGTTTACAGAATTACAGAAAATAAGGTCTTATTTAATTTTTTTATTGTTTGTTTGAGCTTTATATTCAATTCACAATTAAGTGCATTGACCCATGGTATGGTAGTATGGTAGCATGTGTTGTATTGCTAATTTATGATAATTTATTCAAATAAAAACCCCACTGCATTACAATAATTAAACATTAAAACATTATTTTATTACAGTAATGATAATCTAATAATCTAATTAGAATCACCACTGAAAATAATGGGACTTACAAAAAAGTAAAACATATGTACACACAAAACATCTGGTGACATCAGGCATACAGTATGTCAAAATTCTAATCATCTATTTATTGTGAAATTACTGAATTCAAAGATTCTGAATGACTGTACCATGCTGTTTGTAGATAGGTGGCTTTCTGTAGATGTTTGCTCCTTGATCTGAAAGAAAGGAAAAGTCAAATTAGTTCATTTTAGTTCTTAATACAAGAGAATTGGGTTTTTAAACAGAGAAACAAAACAATAACACATACAAAATGCATCGATGAACAATCAAGTCTGAGAAACTGGCAACTGCACCACTTACAGTTTTGATATACTATTACCAAAGAAAGGTCTTTACATTTTCTGAATGAAAATGTTTGTGGTGTTTGCTTGTGCAGACTTTTCATTTCTGCGTGAACTGTTGCTTTAAGACAGAGAGATAACCACACACAGAAAGTGCTATGAATAGTGAACATTTGCTTAGACACAGGGGCATGCTGGGATTGACACAGAGTGGGTCACTGGAAGTCTCCAACAGTACCTGGCATGTGAAAATGTTTAGGAGTCAGAGGGAGAGGAGGGGTGCTGGCCCCTGGGGAACTCCGACCACTGGACGGCTCAGTGCCTCCAATCACAAACACGGTCAAAGGTCAATAGGGAGAATAATTCAAATTAGGGCTGGGCGAAATATATATATATATATATATATATGGCTGAACAGCCATTGCAGCCAATTCAATTCAAAATATTTAATACAAAAAGTAAAATGCAGTAGTTAAAAATAAATAAATAAGGCCTGTTTACACAATGTTTTTAATAAATAAATAAAAGAAAGGTTTTTGATCATTTGATTTGATTCACAGTTGTTCACAAAAGTTCACAATTGCTCATCCCGAAAATGTCATTCTAAAAATGAGATACTAGTTAGAGCACCCAGTCCTAGATTTTAGAGATAGGCTTTCTCTATTCTAAAACTAAATTTGGACACTGGAGGAGAACAGTGCTATATTAGAAAACTGTAAATAATCCATGAAAGGAAAAGAGAAATTGATTTGGTGAAATTTTAATATTAGTCTTTCGAGCACAGCAGACAGGGCTCATAGCTCACCGGGTCTGTGGAAGTGCTGTGGTGAGCGTGACAGGGTGGGGGTGTAATTGTGGCGGCTGTAAATGGGCGACCCGATGGAGCCGTGACTTGTCGACCGGTGGAGGATTCGTTCTCTCATGTCGTAGTAACCCTGAAAAACACAGGAAAGATACACCCGTAAAAAAAAACCACCATTGTTTAATTTGAAAATCTAGATGTGATCCACTTACAATACAAAATCTATAAATAAATTCTTAAATATTTAGAATGAAAATTAACTGCATTTCTCCAATAAAACACAAATAAATATTCAGTAATATTATGTAATCATTTGATTTTTGCCTGCATGCAAAATAAAACTCTAAATATGACTCACCTCAGTAGTCGGTGTGGGTGACCTGGTCTGAAAAATAAATACATATACAAAGAAAACTTTGTGAACACTGTCACTGGGACACCACTGAACTGGGGAAATAGATACACAAACAAACTAACTAACAAACTATTTATTAATTAATTAATTTATGGCGGTGAATCTCAGAAAACCTGTCATGCCTGGGTCAAATTTAAACCCAAAATCAAATTTGAGAAATGATATTTTTCAGAAATGAAAAATCATATCATATTTTCCGTTTTTGCATATTTATTTATTTTCGTTTGTTTGTATGTATGTATGTATTTACGCACTGCTTTATGCATTTTGTCTTTATATTCATGGAAATGACATACTGTACATTATTATCAATACTGAAAGCAGTGCTGCTTAATATTTTTGTGGAAACTGTGATACTTTTTTCAGTATTCTTTGATGAATAGAAAGTTCAAAAGAACAGCATTTATTTGCATTTATAAAAAAAGTACACTGCCTCAAAATAAAGACAGCTTTTTTTAAATAAAGTATTTATCATGGTACTATCATATGTGTTGTATTGCCTTGAATTTATGGTAATTATTTATTTATTAAAAAAAAAACTATCACAATAATGAAGCATAAAAGCATTATTGTATTACAATAGCGATAATCTAATGAGAGTCATCACTGAAAATTAAAGGACAATTAAAAGTAAACAAAAACATCTGGATGCCCTGAAGATAAATTGTGTGGATAAGTGGCCACAAAGGGGCACTCTTGAGCATCTATCTGAATCATAAAATCACAAATGAGACACAATACAATCTTCTGGACTACCTCAAGACTGCTAGTCCACATCCAGTGTGGGATTCAGGACAGTACCAATAACATGCGAATGACTGAGTGGAACAGCCTATCAGTGGACAGGTGAAAGGTCATGTGACTAACTTACTCTGTCTTCTGGCATGGGCGAACACTCTCTCCTGGAGCTCTGCAGCTGTCAACAGAAAGGTGTTGTGTTGGGATAATAAAGTCCAGGTCAGTGAGAAACAACATACTACTGTTCGTGAATAAATATCAATTTTATACAAGCAGAAAAAATTAATTAGCCTGTATTCAATACTATACTGAACTCAAGAGCTCCGTTTCAAACTCAGTTTGCATCCCTGTTCACTACTTAAATATGTGCCTTCTAAGGCAGCATCCTATAATATCCTATAAAAATTTCATCTGATGAATAAAATTTAAGTGCATATATGCTGCTGTAGAATTTGGCTAGAATGTGGTATAATTTGCTACCTACTTCACCTTTTTAATCAGTCTTTACATCAGGAGCATGTGACCTATGATGCTGTCTAGATAGAAAGGACACTAGAGCTTGGAACAGAGCTTCTGTTTGACTTATTTTTACCTCTCCCACACTCTCTCTCTCCTCTGATTCATCCAGTGAGGTGGTGTAAAGTGGTTCATAGTTGATTAGATCTGGACGCTCAATGTCATAAATGGCTTTGACCTTGGGAATGGCTGCTAAATCCTTGTAATCAAGGATCTCATTGTCTACTTTTGCCTATGGGACACAAACACACACAGGAAGACACAAAGATGTCTGAATTTCTACATGACAGCAGTGAAAATATAAAGTTCTATAAAAAGCCTCTCCTAGGCCAGTATAAGGGTCTGAGCATGATCATTTTAATATAAAAATGCAAAAAGCCACTTACGTTACAGCGATTTTACCACAGTTGTTGCTTTAATAAGCTAACATTTATATTTCAATACTGCTGTCAGAATTCACAGTGACAGGAAAGAGAGCCATCTATTAGGATTTCTATCTGTTTAAACAGCCAGAAAACTACAAGATGACTTGGCTAAGCCAATTTGTAACATTGCAATAAAATGTATAATAGTCATAAATATTTGAGTAATCAGGTTTAAAAGCATTTACACTACTGTTCAAGGTTTGGGGTTGCTTTTTTTGTTGAAGGAAGTATCTTATGCTCACCAAGAGTGCTTTTATTTGATCAAAAATACAGTAAAAACAGTAATATTGTGAAATATTATTACAATTTAAAATAACTGTTTTCTATGTGAATATATTTTAAAATGTAAGTTATTCCTGTGATGCAAAGCTGAATTTTCAGCATCATTACCCCAGTCTTTAGTGTTACGTGATCCTTCAGAAATCATTCTAATATGCTGATTTGCTGCTCAAGAAACATTTATTATCTTTATCAATGTTGAAAACAGTTGTGCTGCTTAATATTTTTGTGGAAATATATTTACACTATGATGAACTCATGCACTTACATATATGGTGTGACCCGGTGAGCTATGTATGCTTGAACCAGGTCTGGAACATATAGTCTCGGACGACGAGCGTGTCGGCTGTGGAACAAGCACAGATTTAGAACCCACAACCTATATTCACTATAAGCAATAAATCAAAACATCAGCATTTGCATTTTCATCTAAACAACTATATTCCCCATTGACGTGATTATTCAATGTTGCATTAGCCTTTACCAGAAGAGTTGTTTTTGAGTGTGTTACTTATATTTGCTTTACTGTGCATCAAATGAGCCTAATATAGTTTAACTTTTATATGTTAACACATTTTGTGCCTGCTTGCACATGGCTGTAAAGAGATACATTATGATTTATTAAAATATTCATTGCCTACTGGCCAATCATGCTGCAGAAAGACAATCAGCTGAAAATGCACAACAAATCGACAAAAATATAAAATATAAATCCTTCTAAGCATCAAAATATACATGTTCTAATATATATAACATATTCAAATATAAATGTAAGAAAACTTTGACCTGTAAACAATTATATATATATTGTGAAGGATAGGACTAAATGATGACAGCATCCTTGAAACAAACCTAAAAGTAAAAAAAAAAAAAAATCATTCATTTGCCTTCCACACAATGAATGAGAATCGTCAATGGCAATTTCATGTTTCCGATGGCAGGAAATGCTTGAGGATCGAAATGTAAGTGCATCTGATATTACTCAGCATATTGAAATGCTGAAATGCTGACATGCACCATGCGTGATTACAGCAGCCTAGCTTGACTTAATTTCGCACCATAACAGAGTAACTGGGCTAAACGATCTGTTCTGTAGCACTAGCATCTGTGAAATGGAATAAACCATATGTTAATGATGGTTTATGGCTAAAACTGAGCAGGCGGTGTGAGAGCTGCAGTGTAACTGCAAGTGAGGAGCACTGCAATCTGCCGCCTCCAGGGGGCAGCACATGGTCAAGCGATGCCATGGCACAGCTAACAGCGAGTACAGTACCTGCCTTTCTGTTTTGCTGAGGAGAGCTAGAGATGCAGGCAATAGCTGTGGATTCCGCCCTGTTTTCACTCAAAAAGAAACTACCCTGCGTGCTGTGCACACGTGAGACTGTTACTTAAAACTGTGCTTTATGATGGACAGTATTTATATATTGTGAGTTGTTCAAATCGCGGTAATCTAATACGGTTTTAATGATAATTAAAATATGAAACGGTAATACTAACCGTGGGGAATTTTATCATGAAACCGGTAATCGTTAAATCCCTAGTTCGGACATCACGCAAGATTGTGAACCGCCTAAGCTATAGCGGTGTTCCCGGAATGATTGTTTGAGCGACACGTCTACTAAAAACAGCCAGAAGAAGAAAGTACAGCCTCACAGCTAACAATATCATCTGTTTACATTCAGAAAAGAGTTAGCAGAGAAGAACATACAGACAGCGACAACACAGGACACACATGTAAACACAGGACTCAGAATGACATGGAAAGGACCGTACCCGCTGTCTCTCCTCGCCTCTGAGTGAATGTTTACAGCTTGGATGCCAAACTGTTGATCCTGCACAAATAAGGAAAGAGATGGTAAAAATAACGAAGTCATGTCAGTTGGGTCACTTTTTGACAAAGCATCTAAAGCAGAACTGTAATTTTCAGAGGTGACCTTTATGTGGCACATCTTCAGTCATTCTGCTACAATGTAATTAAAATAACTATATATACAATTTTATTGAAAAAAAACATTTTATTCAGCAAGGATGCATTAAATTGATCAAAAGTGACAGTAAAGAAATATAATTTGTGTAATTCCACAAAAGATTAATATTTCAAATAAATGCACTTCTTTTAAACTTTCTATTCAACAAAGAATCCTGAAAATAAAGTAACACTGTTTTCAACATTGACAATAATAAGAAATGTTTTGTGAGCAGCAAATCAGCATATTAGAATGATTTCTGAAATATCACTGAAGACTGGAGTAATGATGCTGAAAATTCAGCTTTGCATCACAGGAATAAATTATATTTTACAATATATTTTAAATTCTAATAATATTTCACACTATTATAGTTTTAACTGTATTTTTGATTAAATAAACACAGCCTAAGACGACCCCAGATAGTCACGCAGTGTGAAAACAACGGCGATCCGACGAGTGTGAAAATCGTGCAGTGTGAACTCGGCATAAGACACTTCTTTCAAAAACCTTTAAAAAATCAATGCCAAACTTAAATTAACTTAAATGCTAGTGTATTGCTGTCTGCCATACTATAAGACAATGCAATACAATGCAATATAAATAAAAAAAAATACATACAGTACATCATTTCAACTAAAAGTAACTCTTTAGACAAATCCATGTGCTCAGCTAAAATTGATCCAGTGAAACTAGACAACAAAAACATCACTGTAAACCAAATAGAATAAATACTATTTTAACTTATCTGTCAGTATATTATTTGAAATATAATTTTAGTTATTTAATTAGTTAAACAGTCAATTTTTTGGTTATTATGTCCATTCATAGTCCATATTTTAGTTATTTAAGTTAAACATAGTCCAGCAATTAAATAGCTTTTTTCCAAAAGAAAAAAGATAATAATAAAGGGTGAGGCTCACCTTGCAGGTACATCTCCTCTCCTTCAGTAAACATCTGATTGCACCTGCTACAGCGAGCACAGCTGGGGTGGTAGTGCTTGTCCCCTGCCTGTGGAGAAACACACGCTCAAAGTTAAACCGTAAAACAGCCATTACAGATAACTCAAACAGACTGTTATAGAGAAGCTGATGTTTTGCATGTGTATCATGTGAGACGACACATATTTTATTCAAATGACCAGAACCAATGAGCTTATCAAATATAATACAGAAATGTTCTGTGTTTGCAGACTCTCTTTAAAGAGCAGAAATCATCTGAAAACTTTTGTTTTCAAACTGATTTTTCAAAGTTGCAAATAAAACAAAGAGTACTGGAGTACATTTTACAAAAAAAATACTATTTTAGTCTTTCTACTTCAAAATTTCACATTTAATTCAATGCTTAATTAATTTATTAATTTAATGATTAATGCACAACCAATGGTTATTTCATGTTTAATTCACTTGCTGTTTCTGTATTATTTGTTACATTTACTGGCAATTTCCGAGTGAAAACAGTCTTTAACAAAAATGTTTTACAATTTTACATTATTATTAAATATTATTTAATTTATATTCATGAACAAAAATCAGTCTTGAGAGAGACTTACAGGTTCTGTGCAGTATCTTGTGCTCTCAAACTACTCAAAGTAATTCATACAGGGTCCATTTCACTCATGAGCAGCGATGCACAAACACATTCCATTATAACAAACAGGAAAACAGTCACAAGTGTGATGAGAAAGGACAACTGTCTCTCTCACAACTAATCAGATTCAGTTAGCTGGATGAAACTTCCTGTTGCAATACTGTGAAGTCTGCTGTGAGCCCGTTGTGAAACTCTAGACAGTTATCTGTGAGACATCAGATGTGTGTAACATGCTTTTGTGCTAGAGGTCTGTCACAATCAGTGTGTTTTGTTGTCGGACATACATGCTGTCAAGTGATAAATATACTGTTCATGTTGCATGTCATCTAAAAACATTCATTCTCAAATGGTGGGCTAGGACTCCAAAATGGGCCACAGGTCTGTTCTGAAAAATCTTAAAGGGGTCATATGTTGCTAAAAAGAACATTATGTTGTGTATTTGGTGTAATTAAACGTGTTTATGCGGTTTAAGGTTCAAAAAAACACATTGATTGTAAAAAAAAGAAACACATTGATGTATTTCCTCAGCGACCAGCACGGATCAGCTCTAGGCATGACGAAGCAGATATCGTCCTCTTTTGGAAGACCAAACAAAGTAGTTTTGCTTTCACAACGAAACACACAACGCCTTCACGACATGGCGGCGGCGGCAACAACAATACTACAGCGAGAATAAAAGTTATGCCTTCTTTCTTTGCGTGAACATTTGGGCGGTGTTATGCAAATCTTCCCACATCGTGACGTAGACGTGGGGGCGTGTTAGAACGAGTCGTTTTAGGTAGGTGTGGCTGACTCTTAACTTTTATAAAGAATATCTCTTTGGATTTGAGACTTTAGTCTTTGCAACTTTACAGATCTTCTTTATGCACCAAGAGCTTGTAACACTCCAAAGAGAAAGGAAAAATTGAAATCGCATCATATGACCCCTTTAAAAAGGAAAATGAAGGAAATATGACCCAGACTACAATAATACATAAAGATAAATATGGTTTGTTCTGACCATAAAGTGTTTCATTGAGAGGATTACTGTCTGATGACTGCACGAAGCAACTGAATATAATATAAACAAAACAAAAAAACAATTCTAGTACTGTGTTAGGTTGTCACTTGATGGCTTCATTGATGAACGCAATTTTCTTTCCTGTGTTGACATATGTCCTATTCAAACAGGAAGATGGAAATATTCTGACAGGGTGTTGAAGTGTCTAAATGTTAGGCTATCAAATTATTAGCTTAAGATTTAAGGCTACTTTCTGCTTACTGTTAAAGCTACTTACTGTTAATAGATGTACATACTGATTTCAGTGAATTGCATTCATTCACTGAACAGAAACATGTGTGACTGGTTCAATACTGCAAAAAAAAAAAAACATGTAAAAAGAAATCTGATGCAGCGTGATATAAAATTAATGCTGCAATCGACACTTCATTTAATTTTCACATTTCACTTTAATCATGACAGCTGCAATAGATTTAGTTTAATTGTGAAGGGGCATTTTTTGCTCCTTTATCTTCAATCTGAGAGGCAATTTTGTCCATTTCAGTGGCAATGTTCCAGAGAGAGTGGTGTTCCTGCGGATGACGTAGACGTAGCGTAAGCTCTGGTGAGAAGTGACGAATGTGGAGCACAGAGGAGAGAGCAAAACAAAACAAAACACCAGTAAGAAATTAGAAGTTCAAAACAAGGATTTGTAAAGAAAAATGTTTCGATATAAGCCAAGAGGAGACTGGTTTCCTTTGATGTAAACAAAACTTGGCTCTCACAAGACTAGCATATTCTCACTGGAGTTTACGCTACAGCTATGTCCTATGTCATCCACTGGAACGCCACTCTCTCCTGAACGAGCGAATGACGGTTTATAAAGTTTTAAATATGGATATTTTTCTTACACAAACGCATTGCTCCACTTCAGAAGGCCTTTATTAAGGCCAGGACATTTTTAAATATAACTCCGATTGTATTCGTCTGAAAGAAGAAAGCCATATACACCTAGGATGGCTTAAGAGTGAGTAAATCAAGGGGTAATTTTCATTTTTGGGTGTACTATCCCTTTAACAATAACAACACTGCTCAAAGCTACAGACATTAACTAAAAGACACAAAAAAGTATTTCAAGGGATCATTTTGTTACCATTCCAGAACTGTGTGTGTGTGTGTGTGTGTGGGTGTTTCTGTACCTCCAGGACTTTCCCGGTGATGAACTGCTGACAAGCTTCACAATGCACTCCAAACAGGACCTGATAATCATGCTCACAGTAGGGGGCGCCATCTCTGTGCACATACAGAGAACAAACCAATGCATACCATCATCCATCATTTAGGATGGAATGGATGGATTTTGTGTATAAATGCGTCTTACTTGCTGATGTATTCTCCAGTTAATACTTTGGCACAGGCCTTACATTTAAAACAGCCCAAATGCCACTGACACTCTAGAGCCAACAGAGCCTGACCATTCTTAATATCTCTGCCACAGCCCGCGCAACCTGAAACATACACACAAATGAAACTCATTTGACTTACTCGATTGATGCTTTTTCCTATTAAAAAACATCTTTAAATTCTGCGCATGATTTAAAGTTTCTCAAAAAAACTCAGTTTGGGCCATTATTTTTGTGTCAAAACATGCAAACCATTTTTTTATAGACTTAAACTTGATCACTATGTCATGAATCAGTATATTGTGAACACAATTTTGGCATTTATCAAGGGTCTTGATCTATTACATCAGGACACTGATGACTCACAATGGCATTTATCAACAACATTGCTGTATTACAAACATTAGTGATATCGGTGTGGTATTTGTTTCTTCACATTTTACTTTATACCTTGTAGATGAAAGATGATCATTGGCTTTAGTAGTCGAGCTTAAAGGCTTAAAGTGGAAATTAATATTAATGGTTACACTTTATTTCGATAGTCCACTTTAGACATTCTATTAACTATAAGTAACTTTGTAACTACATGTCAACTACATGTCAACTAATTCTCATTAATTTGCAACTACATGTCTACTAACTCTCAGAGTAGACTGTTAGGGTAGGTTTAGGGTTAGTAGAATAAGTTGACAAAGAAAGTGTTAGAAGATATTAAGCAGACAGGCTACTAATACTCTACTAACTGCTAGTTGACATGTAGTTGCAAGGTTACTTACTGTTAATAGAATGTCTAAAGTGGACTATCGAAATAAAGTGTTACCATATTAATTATTTATTATAGTAGGTGGATCCTGGCCAAAAAGCCCCCAAATGCTCAGAAAAGGGAACAAAGAGAGATGAAGTGTTTTAATAATTTACCGTTTCACGTGTATATCCATGCCAGAGCTTTACAGGATCTTATACAATCACTTTCTTTCCCATTAAGTCACTGTGTGGATGTGGCAGTATGTACTCTTACTATAGTTAATGTATGTTGACGTTTTTTTTTTCTTCTTTTTCTTTAATAATGTCTGAGCATGAAGGAAGTTGTGATAAAATAATCTGCTTTATAAAGTTGATGCATATGAATTACATAAATAATTCTTTATGCCTTCTAGGTTCTTCAGGTTTTAAATTGAGTAAGATTTTGTCTTAAGTACTTAAACTTAAAAGTTGTAGATATGTGAGATCTTAAATCGTATGGGAAGGTCAAAAAGAAAAGAAATTAAATCAGGAAGTACACTGTGTATAAAAAAAAAGAAGCCTATTGTATTGTGATAATATTTTCCCGTCCACAATTTTCATTAAAACAATCAGTTCAGATGCTTTACTTTTGTAAAGTATTTCTACTTAAATATATCCAAATGTTGGAGTTAATGAATTCATAAATAATGCAAAAATTCAAGGTAGTATAACAAACTTGACTTTTTTTTCACATTTCACTGATGAAAATGAGATTTGTATTGATTTGGCTGGAAATGTGTTTAATTTATTACTGATTTACTGTCTTTTTGATCAAATAAATGCTGCATTGGTGAGCATAAGTGATTTCTTTCAAAAACAAGGTAATACATAATTAAATATTTTAAATTACACTGAACAAAATTATAAACGCAACACTTTTGTTTTTCCCCCCATTTTTCACGAGCTGAACTCAAAGATCTAAGACTTTTTCTATGTACACAAAAGGCCTATTTCTCTCAAATATTGTTCACAAATCTGTCTAAATCTGTGTTAGTGAGCACTTCTCCTTTGCCGAGATAATCCATCCACCTCACAGGTGTGGCATATCAAGATGCTGATTAGACAGCAGGATTATTGCACAGGTGTGCCATAGGCTGGCAACAATAAAAGGCTACTCTAAAATGTGCAGTTTTATCACACAGCAAAATGCCACCGATGTTGCAAGTTTTGAGGGAGCGTGCAATTGGCATGCTGACTGCAGGAATGTCCACCAGAGCTGTTGACCGTGAATTGAATGTTAATTTCTCTACCATAAGCCATCTCCAAAGGCGTTTCAGAGAATTTGGCAGTACATCCAACCGGCCTCACAACCGCAGACCACGTGTAACCACACCAGCCCAGGACCTCCACATCCAGCATCTTCACCTCCAAGATCGTCTGAGACCAGCCACCCGGACAGCTGCTGCAACAATCGGTTTGCATAATCAAAGAATTTCAAATAATTTTCTGTCAGAAACCATCTCAGGGAAGCTCATCTGCAATATTTGAGAGAATAGGCCTTTTGTGTACATAGAAAAAGTCTTAGATCTTTGAGTTCAGCTCATGAAAAATGGGGGCAAAAACAAAAGTGTTGCGTTTATAATTTTGTTCAGTGTATATATATACATATATATACCCCCCCCCACACACATTTCACTAATGGGAATGAGCTTTTTATTAATTTGATTGGAAATGTGTTTAATTGTCATGAAAATAAAAAAACTAAACTATTAATGGCATTATTTTCTAGATTTTTGGTTGAAATATGACCCTGACATGTTCTTGACCAGTTATGTGCAATTCACTCATATGGAGGTTTAGATGTGCGGTTCCTGCACTCACTGCTTGGTCTGATGGCGTCTTTGGTAGGTCCTGGAGACATGGGCTCTGCGCAGTACTGACACAGACAGTCCTTGCCATTGAACGTCACTCTGTCTCCAGCAGGAAATGGTCTCCTGTAGGTCATAAAATATACGATCCATGCAATGTCAATGACTGTATAATGTCCAGTGTGTGTCTCTTTGCGAGTGTGTGTGTGTCCGTAGGCTCTTACTTGCAGATTGTGCACACAAAGCATGCTGGGTGGTAGGTCTTTCCGAGTGCAGTCACCACCTCCCCCTCCACAAACTCTCCACAGATGTTACAGCGCGTGCCATGGATGCGTTGGTAATCCAGAGTGCACAGATATTCCCCATTCTTCATGAAGAATCCTCCCTGAGCCAGATCGCAGCCACATACTACAGCAAAACACACATTCTAAAGTTGGTTGTGAATTATTATCAAAATCAAAATCATGGTGTGTTATATACACTCACTCTACCTAATAATATTGTTTTAAATATTAGAGAATAATAAAATAATATTATATAAACATAAAATATTTAAAGAATAATTAAATGCTTCATAAAGGCATCTGGGGGGAAAAAAAACTACCATGGTTTCCACAAAAATATTAGGCAGCACGTCTGTTTGTAACATTGATAATAATCAGAAATTTTTCTTGAGCGGCAAATCAGCATATTAGAACGATTTCTGAAGGATCATGTGACACTGAAGACTGGAGTAATGATGCTGAAAATTCAGCTTTGATCACAGGAATAAATTACATTTTAAAATACATTTAAATAGAAAAGTTAGTTTAACTGTAAAAATATTTCACAAAATAAATGTTTTACTGTATTTTTGATCCTCATTCACTACCATTATACTAGACAGGGACATTTTTTAAACAATCATATTTTATGTTCTGCAGAGGAGTAAAAAACAGTTGGTAAGTAAATAATGACAAAAGTTTTTAGGGTGAACCTTGATTTTTGTTATAATGGCTTCTTTGTCATACATTTCTGTTCTTGTAACAGGACAATGCATCATAATTGGCGCACTAGAAATAGCAATTGTAAAAATAAACCTCAGTGGAGGACAATGGACAAACCATGATCTTGAGAATACATAATAGTCAGAAACCTTGAAATGTCTAATCTGAACTAATAGCCTATCTTAAACACATTTAGAGCTCATTGTGTTTCATTTTAAGCTCTTAAGAGCTCCTTCACCCACTTTCTATTTAGAGAATGAGCGAGTGGAAGTATAATAGACATGTACAATGTCTATGTAGTATGTGTGCTGTTATGTAACTGACTCTAGTGCTTCTCATAGCCTTCTACATGATCAGCTCCGATAAAATGAGTTCATGCACTGAGAAACTTCTGCAGGGTCCATATGAGGACATATATATATATATATATATATATATATATATATATATACGGTTTTTTTTACTGTAGAAAGGTATTAAGTGCACCTTTAACACAAAAAAGTGACACAGTTATTTAAAAATATTCATCCCAACATCCTTAAGTTAACCTGCATCTCAAAAAACGTACCACAACCAATATCAACCTAAAGGGAATAAACAACATGACAGCGTCTCCTTTGAAAATGTGAAAATCATCACTGAAACATTTGATCTGATGAATAAATGAAAAAGTAATGGACTTGGTAACAACGTCTTTTGGCACATTTCCTACAAGCAGACTTTCATCTCTGGATGACGCAGACACAAAATAATACATTAAAACTAATATTCAGATATTAAACTTTCATTCATTCTAAGGAGCTGGTAGTTTTAAATTTAAAGTTTAAACTTTAAAATTACATGCATTTAAAAGCGTTTAAGAAATTTTAAAATGATTATCTAAAAATTATCTAAATATAAACACTTAAACATAGATATGCAATTGAAAAACTCCAACAAATAGAATGCATTAATTTAACTTTCTGTGATTTAGTGATTGTATTACTTCACATATGTGTTAATAAGTTAAAAATTATTGAAATTGTACCTCTTATTCTTCAGAAACCTCTTAAAATAATATTTCACCCAAAAACTTTAATTAGCTGAAAATGTACTCACCCACAGTCCTTCCAAGATGTAGATGAGTTTGTTTCTTCACAGTAACAGATTTGGAGAAATGTAGCATTACATCACTTGCTCACCAATGGATCCTCTGCAGTGAATGGGTGCCGTCAGAATAAGAGTCCAAACAGCTGATAAAAACATCACTATAACTGACAAGATTCCAGTCCATTAGTTAACGTCTTGTGAAGTGAAAAGCTGTGTGTTTGTAAGAAACAAATCCATCAAGATGTTTTTAAATTCAATCCAGCCCTCAATGCATGATATTGCTTTCTCCGGTGCAAAATACATCTTGTCTGAATCAGGAGAGTAATATGCACAGATCAAGCACCATTTACAGATGAAAACAGTCCAAAACAGCTCTAAACAAATATGTTGGTGGATGTTGATGTGAGAGGACTTTTTCACTGATGGAAGCATTATTATGGATTGTATTTTGGACAGAAGTTATGGTTTAAAGTTTAAGCGTCTTAATGATGAATTTGTTTCTTATAAACACACAGCTTTTTGCTTCACAAGATGTTAATTTATGAATTCGCGTGGATTACCTGTGAATTATTGTGATGTTTTTATCAGCTGTTTAAACTCTCATTCTGACGGCACCCATTCACTGCAGAGGATCCATTGGTGAGACAGTGATGTAATGCTAAATTTCAACCAAATCTGTTCCCATGAAGAAACAAACTCATCTACATCTTAGATGGCCTGAGGGTAAGTACATTTTCAGCAAATTTTCATTTCTGAGTAAACTATTCCTTTAATATATATTGGCTTAGTGCACATGATTCAATGATACATCACATTATAGAAATAAAGCAGGCTGTGAGCAGGTTGCCTACAAATGAAGAATAGAATGATCTAGTTGGTTTATGCTACTCTGAAGTGATTAGATGATTAGATAAGCTGATTATTATTACACAGACTTACATTAAGGATGGCATAATCCCTAAAGGGTGTTGAACACAAAGTAGATGATTAGTTCTTACACTGATTATCTGCTCAGATTACTACAGGTCATGTTCAAATTCAAATCTAATTTCTGTGTAGTTTGATCAAGAGTTGACAGTAAAAAGATTTTAATATCTCATATTCATTATCACCTTGCATATATATGATTCAAGAACTGTTAAATCCCTAGTCCAAAAATAGGCCTGCTGAGTCACTCTTTTTCTATCTCTCTCTCAGTCAGTGTCATTGTCTCTGTGTCTGTGATGTATTAAGAGGCCACAGTAAGGTCAGAGGTCAGAGAATGACATGAATTCAGTCCTGTGTGAGAAATAAAGGGCTGGGCGAGATATTAAATATTCAAGATATACTTGAGATATTTCTACCCAACTGAAGCTAAAAGTGAAACAAAATAAACAAACAAACAACAACAACTATCAGTCCACTGCAAAAGTAACGTACAAGTAATATGTTACTTTTTAAGTAAAGCAATTATTTAATAATGTGACATACTACTTTTAAAAGTAACTTTTTAAACGTGTTCCCCAAGAAAACCAACACTGGCATGTGCTTCAGTGTGACAGAATGCAAGCATTCAACAAATTAAAATAACATAGAAAGTCATGTTTTCATATTTCAACATGTATCATTTAGCTCAGTGACTGTTAAAAAATAACAACTACTACTTGTTATTATACAAGGTTAATATACTGTATACTTACAAAATAAACGTTTGGACACACTTGATTGAATGATGTTTTTTTTGCAAATTAGTTTTGTAGAAAACTACAATTTTATTTTATTTATTTTTTGAGTTGGAGCAGTGCAGGAACAACTGTCCACCATACATTTGAACTTCTATCACGTTTTGATCACTACATAATTTGCATATTTTGTGTTATTTCATAATTTTGATGACTATTAATCTAAAATGTGAAAAAATAGTAATAATAAATGTCCATACTTTGACAGGCAGTGTATATATGTACAAGGCTACTTCCATTAATTAATCCCTAAAATTTGTCATGTGCAACATACTAGATGTGACTGTGTCAGTCAGATTTGTGCTGCACTCACAGAGCAGCTCTTACATCATAATGCTGCTCTCTCTAATTGAAGTGGGACAGCAGGACAGAGGGAAAGTCTCTGGGTTAATTGGATCGCAGCTCAGACATGACAGGATTTACTTCGTAATGTAGGACTGTATTGTATCCAGGTCTACGTGACTCAAGTGTTGCTGACAAAATAGTCAGCATAATCTCGAGTGTTTTGTTAAAAGCAGATGGATTTGGTGGGCTTACTAAATAAAGACCCTGAAGTGACATGGTAAATCATGACACTATACCAGTAAGTTCAACAGAAAGCACTAAAGCAAGAAAGGCAGTCTGGATGTCACCTAATGACCAAACTTTCACACACACACACACACACACACACACACACACACAGTACTGTATAATAATTATATAATTCATTTAAAAAAAATATTAACCCTCTAATACAATATAATTAAAATGCTTAAATGAATTATAGAAAAATTATAGAATTTCATGTTCACTACTACCATTTACACAATGAACTGATGTTAGTAACCTCACCTGTCCATATAGCGTTAATGCTATATTGACAACAAACACAAGTGAGTTGGGTCTATTTTTAAAACTTATCATAGATTCTGAGAAACACATGCTAAATAGGTCAAGCTGGAACTCATCTATAACAGTCTTAACAATCACACAGTGATCCTGAACTCTGGCAGAAGAGATGAGTCATAGGAGACGCACACGAGAGGTGTTAGACAGACTTCAGAAACATTTATAGGGAAAAACTCAGAAAACTAATTTCCTATGCTTTTCTTTTGATTTTGTGCATGGTAAAATATGAACCAGACATGTTATTAAATTGTTGTGCTCTCAGTTTAAGACCTACATATAAAATAGACAGACAACAGTAAACGTCCAGCATACACCTCTCCTTTTCTGAAGATATTAGATTCTGTATTTGAATATTCCATTCATATAATAATTCTAATTTACATCTCTTCCTCATTCAGCATTTGGCTTCCTGGCACTGAATGTCTTGCATGTAACAGGGACTGATGGTTTGTATATGTGCATAAGTGACATTAATTCACTCACCTTTGCACGTGAAGCACTTGATGTGGAAGTGTTTGGCCTGCACTCGTAACACCTCTCCCTTGCACACCTCCCCACATTTAGCACAGCGTATCAAAGGCTTCTCCGTCTGGTGGTGAGCTTCCTGTGTATGGGCCACTTGCATAGGAAGAAAACAAAAGTTGACATGGTCTGTAACAGTACTGCAACAGTGCAAGTATGTGTGGAATATGAGCTGCTTGTGTAGAGCTACTGCATATAAAATACAATATTCCGTTCAGTAACACAGTCCATTTTGGTTTATATTACAAAAGCGAACTTAAGTACACTACTATGCAAAAGTTTATGGTCAGAAAGTTTATTTATTTTTATTTTTTTCAAAGATGCATTAAAATTATGAAAAGTGCAGTGAAGATGTTTCTAATGTTAAAAGAATATACAAAAATTATATTTCAAATAAATGTTGTTCTTTGGAACTTTCTATTCATCAAAGAATCCTGAAAAAAAAAAAAACTGTTTCCACAAAAATATTAAAGGGGTGGTTGACTGTTTTTTTTTTCTAGGCTTGATTGTTTTTATCCTGATTAAAGCTTTAATACAGTACGGCAACTGCACGCGCGTCCATGTATAACGCTTCTCATAGCTATGTGAAAATAAGTGTATAATTGTAACAGTTCATTGTTACAATTCAATTCACAGCAGCACAACTGTTTTCAGCATTTTCTGGAGACTGGAGTAATGATGCTGAAAAGGACTTTGCATCACAGGAATAAACTGCATTTTAAAATATATTTAAATAGAAAATAGTTATTTGAAATTGTAATAATATTTCACAATATTACTGTTTTTACTGTATTTTTGATCAAATTAATGCAGCCTTGGTGAGCAAAAGAAACAAAAGAAAAAAAAATTACCACAAACTTCTGAACGGTACTAGTGTACATTGTTGTACCTTAAAAATCATCATAAAATAGCTGTAAACAGGATTTTCAACAAGAAATCAAATAGCAAACAGTGCTGAAAACAAAGTCAGAAGACTGTATAAATGCATGTCTCTGCCTCCATTAAAATCCACACAGCAGATCCTGTACCTTCAAATATCCTTTTTAAAAATATCACCACATCACATCAAATGTCCACAAATCCTGATTATCAATTCTGCATTGAGACGTACTGCACAGATCCTCATTCCCCTGGAGAAAGAGTTCAGCACAGACTGAAACACACAAAGCTTTCACTGTTATTGATCTGCATTTGTTTTCCATTTATTTTGCATTCGTTTTTAAGCATCACTTTATCCAAAACATCCACTATTGTTATCCTCTACTCTATTTGTCAAGGTTCTTTATTGGCATTGATGGTTCCATGAAGAACTATTAACATCCATGGAATCTTTCCAATCCACAGAATGTTCTTTATAGCAGAATAAGGTTCTTCAGATTATTAAAATGTTCTTCACACTAAGAAAAAAGTGGTAGAACTGTTCACTGAAAGGATCTTTGGGCAACCCAAAATAGTTGTTCTGTGAAAACCCCCTTTTGGAGGCTTTATTTTTATGTGTACTCCATTCCAGCCCATTCCCCCTCTCAGTTGTGTCTACACTAATCCAGGAGGAGTGACTGATTCTGTCCCAGAGTGTTGAGCATCAAACACAGACAGTCCCCGTCACAGGGCCAGAGCAGCGCTGGATGTGTGTGCATGTGGACCAGTGCATGTGTGTTAGCTTGTACGAGTCTCGTGGGACATTCATTTCGCAGACGCACACTTTTTTCATACATATTTATGAGGAGAATCTCTTCCCCTGCCCCCTTACCATACCCTCTCCACCCTTCCGTCCCAGGCCAACAAAGCACTGGAAAGTGGGATCAGAGCCGTATCTCTCACTGCCAGAGCTAAAGCATCATTATCTTCAAAACATTCAGTATTCATGAAGACATCAATGAAATTACATTTAGAAACATTAAAATTCGGAACAAGTACAGTGAGATCAAATGTAAATGAACCAGTCTGTGAAGTGAAAAACTGCAGTTGATCTAATGGGACATTTCATGTTATTTTACAATAAAATACTGTAAAATGTAAATTTTTGAAGTGAAAAAGAACAGGGCATATGCTTATACTTTACAGAGAGATATTCTGGTCTCTAGATATGACCCAGGTCCTTATGGAAGCCGGTAAATATGTGACTTTATATCTCACAATTGCTTATTTCTCTCACATAACAGTTCTCAAGTCTACAAGCCGTATAAATGACTCACTAATGTAAAAAAACTGCACTGAGGGGTCTTACATGTATAGAAAAATCGAATGAGTGGTATAATGCAGAAGAGTAGATGACAGCTGCTGTACTTCAAGTACTTAATCCAAACTCTTATTGAAGCTTTCTAGAACACTTCCTCCACACAAGCAGGCATTTCTGCTGATTAAGCTCTGGTCAGAGGAGTTAACTTCCAGCTCTGAGAGCACACCATTACAGATATCACATCAGCATCACAGACACTACAGCTCGACTGACTCGCTCTCCTGACTACAGACAGCTGTCTTAACTGGGATGAAACGAGATTATGCATGAAATGGAATGCAATTCATTTCAAAAGAGTTTTGCACTGGTGTGTTGCTAAGCTAACAACACAATACTCCAATAACTACAGAAATGCACAGAATATTTTATCAATACTCACAACATTTGTCTGGATTCATCCATCGTTTTGGATTCATTTGTTTCCCTGAGCTCAATACAGTGCATTATAAGATTGGCTTCTCATGAAAGGTAGCCCTGTTGAAAACAATAGCATATGCTGGTATATTTTGAAGCAAGGCAGCTGGTTTGAGCTGGTTTAAGATGGTCATGTGCTGGCCCTAAGCTGGTTCTAAGCAACTAGCTCCTGCTCCTAGCTCCTGCCCAGAACCAGCTCATAACCAGCTTATTACCAGCTCAGGACCAGCTTGAACCAGTTCATGACCAACTAAGGACCAGCTTAAACCAACAAAAACCAGCTGCCATGCTTCAAAACATACCAGCATATGCTGTTTTTTCCACCTTAACATAGCATGGTATTAACATTAAATGCACCATTTTTTTGGACACTAGCATGATGGAAATAACATGGTATTCTTTTAAGAACTTAAATTCCAAGGTACACTACCATTCAAAAGTTTTTCTGTATTATTTGATGAATAGACAGAACAGCATTTATTTGAAATATAAATCTTTTGTAACATTACAAAAGTCTTTACTGTCACTTTTGAGTTAATGTTAATGTTAAGTTAATGCATCATTGCTGATAAAAAAGGATAACTAATTCACTTGGTAGAAACTAACTAAATGAAATGCCACCATGGGCACCAAGTTGTGCAAAATGAATAAAAGTGCACATGGTAGGTAAAAGAATTATGAATCATTTTAAGGACTTTTTTTTTACTTTTACATGGTGATTTTATATGACAATTTTAGCGCAGTGTTTGCTTCTCACTTCATGTACAAAAATATGGATCCAACATAAGCACTTGGTACTGCCACAGTACATTTAGTACGAACAGCTCATGTACATCCATATCTCAAACATTTTTATGCAGCAACCCAATACTGCAGTATTATATTATTACTTATTTGATACATATATCAAATTATCTACTAAATATGTTTTCAAATAAATCAATACCAAAAATCTACAAGGATAAAAATCTATAAGGACAAATCTTAAAATTGTTAACTTGGTTACTGTGTGTAAAATTTTAGTTCAAGTTGACCTACATGTTTGTGCCTACAAATCTACAACATTTTACACTTGCAGTCTTCCCTCTATAGTACTGAAAAAGACTGTATTCATTAGTCAAAGACACAATGCTGGAAATGAACCTGAACTCTGCGTCTCTGCAGATGAACTGCGGCAGGGATGAGACATCTTTAAAGAGACACCCTAAAAGCGAGAGGCCACTGCAAGCGAGACACAACAATGGACTTAACCTTCCTGTGAGCGTTGCTATGGCGACGGGTGCGGGCTGCGCGTGTCTACCTCATGCTTTTGGGTCCCATTTAAAACTGAAACAACAGTAACGGCAGGAGACGTGCCGCTATTAAACAATCCCACAATCTATGACCAGCAGCTCTGATCAAATAACCTGTAGACCTGACAGGTACGACTGCAGCACAAAGCGACTCTATCTCTTATATAACAGTTCCTGTGATTCAAATTGATCACACACAGCAGCTAAAGCCAAACATGGTGCAATCAGGAAAAAACTAAGATTATCAACCTGTATTTAACCAATACAGCATCAGAATCACCTTAACTAAGAAGTGAGATAATTCAGCATCTCTGCAGATAAAGAACAGCATGTGATTCTCATGATGCATTTCTGGTAAACCTTTTGAAAGTGACTATTTACTCTTAACAGTGTGAAACGTGACCACACTAATATATAGATGGTCAGTTACTCTCACCAAAACACACACTCTTAATTACCTTTCTTCTTGACCATGACCATCAGTGGTAAGTGAAGATGAATCAATAATCAGCCCTGGTGGAGTTGTATCCAGTGAGATGAGAAATGCAGCATTAAAAAGCTGAACAAAAAATCCAGTGAACTAATATGGATGATTAAAAGAGGAATATGTAAATGACAGAAAGCTAAACGTGTCCTGTAACAACAGAGGCAGGCAGGCGCGTGCCTGCTCCCCTGTACCCCTCTGTCTCCTCCTACCGCCCCCACCCTCCCTCCATCCATCCGTCCCATCCCCCTTTCTGTCTCATTAATCCAAGGACTTGCCCATCTTCCTCTGCAGTCTGGAAGTTACTGGCAGAATTTATGACTATAGCTGCCAATTTGGCTTGATTAAGCTACATTAAAAAGCTTAAACAGTTCAGATTAAAAAAACATTTTACATTTTATGGCAACATTTTTTGGTATATAAACTATGGTTACACCGAATGACATTTTATTGGGTGTCTTTTGTAAATCATGGTAAAAATGTGTGACAGTTGTTATTTTTTGCTCAGAAAAAAAAAAGGAACAGGACATTCTAATATCCATAGAAAAAAATAAACTTAAAGCTGTATTAAACTTTTATTATTTTGATGCTTGAAAACACCTTTTTGGTCAAAATATTCAATTATAGACTAATATTAAATGTAAATATTCAAGGTAAATTTATAATAATAATAATAATAATAATAATTTTAGATTATTATTATTAGAATAATTTCTTAGACACTAACATCAGCAAATGGAATAAAAAATAGTAATAATTAAAAAACAAAATGTTTTTTTTTATTATTCCCAAAGAGGTTTCCCAAACATTCACTGCGTCACTGGTTAAACAAAACATTCATTCAACCTACAAATGGCTTCCACATATTAAGCACAATACAATACAATTAAAACTGAATAAAATCACACTCTTCACCTGTCAATGTTTATTTTAAAATGTTAAATGTATTTATTTTCTAAAATACTACAAATAAATAATTAATAAAAGCATTTAAATAAATAAAAAAAATTAAACTAAAAATATTCTTCATTACAAAAATCATGTGCTCAACACATGGTGCTGGTCAAAAATAACTAAATGGCCAAGTCAGCAACTGTGCAGGGGACGACCAGCCTTGTTGGGACAGTATCCTTGCAGATCACACAGGCTTGTCTGGATCATGACAGCAGACATGACATGATCTGGTTTTAATCCACCATGAATATCCCTGTGATTAAGCTGTGACGATCCTATTAGCCTCATCACGGTTCAACAGCTGTCTGAGTGACACTCAGTCTCAACTACATCAGCAGAATGGACTCATGATGAAATAAAACATTCTGCAAGCAACATATAAACAAACTGCAAATATTTCATTATAGTAGAAGTTCCACTAGTGACTGTTTTTTTAGAGGGCTCTTAAAAGCATGAAATTTACTTTTTCTGTCTGCTGCCGTTCATTTTGTTCATGCCGTTTTGAACACCACAATAGCAGCACAGCATAGAAACAACTCAAACAACTGCATAGCAGTATTGATACACAAGCAGCTATACTGAAAATACAGAAATGTCTGTAGACATTTCTGTTTGTTAAAATTAGTACAATAATTTCAGAAGCATAAACCAAAAAGTAGAATGCACTTTTCTGATTGTGAATATCTGGTTAACTTGCTGCTAAGTGCCAAAAAGTCAAAGATTTGACATCACTAACCTGGAAATGATTATTTCTTCTTCAAAAGCACTTACTCAACACTGTAAACACAGCTTAACTTCCAGGTGGATCTCCAAAAGCAATCAGAATGAATCAGAAGATTTCAGACAGTTTTCCCCCCGTGCGAGACGCATCAGGCAGTCAGTGAATGGACAGTGTGTTGGTGTGCCATCTAAAGTTGAGACCGGATCAGAGGGAACTTGAGGATCATCAACCTTAGAAAGCAGCTTGACTTCAGAACACTTCCTTCACATGCCTAGAAGCATCAATGGACACTTTTCCATAAGTAAAAACGTACTTCACCTCATCCTAGACTGGTTTAGTGCATAGCCAGCACATTTCTAATAGCCAAATACTGTGGAGAACTAAATTTATGTGACTGCTGCTCTAGTCTGAAGTCTCATTCATTCAGTTCTGCATCCAGTTTAGATCTTAAAATTGTTTCACATGCGTCAAACTCAGTGCAATTTGTTTGAATGACTATGCAAAAGCACTGCACTGTTAAATAATTATGACTCATTGTTATTTACATAAGAGCATTTTCATTGATTTGTCATCCCATTAACTTTTCCAATAACACTGCTGTAAGACTCCACACTTAGTCTGCCCTTCTCAGATGACCCTGTAAAAGCTCTTAGTTCTCCAATGTATGTCAGGAAGTAAACTCCTCTCCCTGGGCCAAGCAGATCTATATGGTATAATCTGGAATGCAAGGCTGAGGAAAATGCAATTTGAAAATAAAGCGACAAATATGCAGTTATGGGCTGTTTGTACAGGACGAGTTCCAGCTAGATGGAGCACAATGCAATGAAAGAAAGGTAGCAAGAGATGCTTTTCAACTCCCTTTAACTTGACACATCCTACAAACGTAAAAAGAAATATATACATTGAGCTGAGCAATGTTGTTTCATTGTCACCATTATCTACAAGAGACATAATTACAATGGCAATAGACAGTTCAAAAGTTTGGGGTCGGTTTTGAAAGAAGTCTGTTATGCTTATTAAGGCTGCATTTATCTGATCAAAAATACAGTAAAACTGTAATATCTATGACATTATTATTACCATATAAAATACATTAAAAATGATAATGTAAAAGTTGAACTTTCAGCATCATTATTTCAGTGTCTTACTTCAGTGTCACACGATCCTTCAGAAATCATTCTATTATCTTGATTTGCTGTTCATGAAACATTTCTTATTATTATCAATGTTGAAAACCATTGTGTTGTGAAAATATGTTTTGGCAAAACCATTATACATTTTTTCTTTACTTTTTTCAAGATTCTTTGATGAGATGAATAAATAAAAAGTTCTGAATAACAGCATTTATTTGAAATAGAAATATTCGGCAACATTTTTTTAAATGTCCATTGCTCTAGTGTTTTGTACAGCTTAATGTATCGCTTACATATTCATTTGTAAATGATGTTCATATGTTCATAGTTTCTGCTTATAGTATACATACACTATTACATAATCCATCTGTATAGTATGTTCATAGTACACTTATCTGTATATCATGCTGATAGTATTTAAAAAGCTGTAAATTATGTCCATAGTACTGCCTTAACTGTATATTTATTGTACATTTGTAACATATTGGAGACACAGTATATCCTGTACTTACTGCTTATTGCACTTCTGGTTAGATGCTAACTGCATTTTGTTGCCTTGTACCTTACATGTGCAATGACAATAAAGTTGAATCTAATCTAATCTTAATGTCTTTAACACTCTAATGTCACTTTAATGCATCCTTGTTTTTTTTGTTTTTTTTCCCCAAAAAACTTACTGACTCGAACATTTTGAACAGCAGCCTAAATAAAAAACGATTTCCTTAAAAAAGCAAAATGAAGTTCCTCTTCCACAGGCCACTGGTCAATATGTGTAAATCTTTACCCAAACAAGAGCAAATCCCAAGAAATCCAAAAACTGAGGAAATCTGACATGCTGGATTTGTCTGATGGTTCTCTTGTAATACTAAAGGCTTTTTGGTTGCCTCAAGCATGCCTGAAGAAGTTTACAGTTACATAAAACTTAAACTCAATTTCAAAAATGAGTAACAATCATTTTTGACATCCGTGTACTGATTAATACATTGCATAATGCTCTATCCTCGTCATAAACACTCACAAAAGTTTTGTGTGTCAAGATGTTTCCTGGCACTAGATGAGAACTACCTCTTGATTAGCATAATGAATTAATTCATTCCACCCTATTAACAGCATGTAATCCCTTTTTAGCAACTGAGACATTCACTTTCATGATCTGCTTTAGCACACTTACAACCAGTGGAAACTCACAGCACAGAGCGCCACTAACATGAGCGAAGCATTTCTACTGAACGGAAGGGTTGAGCAGCTATTATACATCTGTTTGGGCAGGATGATCTCATTCATATTTATACACAAATTGTACATTTCTTGTACAATTGTATGTATAATGTCAGTCACTTTAAAATAAAATAAATAAAAAAATAAAATCAATCAATCAATCAATCAATCAAGTCCACCTATTGCAACTAAAAATATAAGCTGCTGCCTTAAATTTGTAAGTATAATCAAATTGGTTGTCATTTCAACTTAAAACTTCAACTTAAAAACTAGAAAAAAGTTGAATTTCATGCTTTATAACTTGAAAATTGCACAACTTAATTCTACTTAATGAAATTGCTATATATAGAGAGAGAGATTTAGATATATTTAGAGAAAGACAAAAACAAAAGATATAAAAGTTTGTGTCACTCTTTATACATATATATAAAAAATGTATAATGTTAAAGTAGCCTAAATGTTACATTGATTAAATGTGATGGTATTAAATAATTGTATGCAATCAAAAATATATATAGCACAATCAATTTAAGAAATTCTTCAATTTACTAAGTCAAAGGGATTGCTTAGAATTTTGCGAGAACACTGCAGATTTGTAAAGTTGAACATATGTTAAAAGATTCATGTTTTGGAAGCTGTTGAAATATTCATAAAAAATGTAAGTGAGCTATATTTTACATATGCAAATAAATGAATACTAATGAGATCATGTTGGAGGCAAAGACAACATAACACACTAAGTTTCTTAATGTACAATTAAACTGTACAGTTACTGTTGGTCTAAATTTGACTGGTTTCTGGAGCAAAACTGATCTAAATTAAATTCAGCTTACTTGTGTTTTATGCAATAAACAAGACGTGTGATATGAAGAAAAATATCAACATAAAGTGCAACCCTTCACCAGTTTCCATAGCTGTTCATACCAGGTGTCAGGCTCTCAGTCAAGTAATAGTCTTCAGGGTTGATGAACGGCAGCTGTTGCATCACAGACTCTTTCGGGATGAGGTACAACACTTCTGCCACACGTCCATCCTCTATGACAGATATGCGTTTGACAGAGTTTGTGCGTTTGATCCGGGTGCGATCCACATGCTGACTGCGTCCTGAGCCGCAGAGCTTTCCCAGGCTGTTCAAAGTGGGAAGGGAAGGCATGTCCAAAAATACACAAACTAGGCCAAAAATGCTTAGGAATTAGTCTTTTCCACAATAGACTGAATAGCCAGGCTAAATGATAACCGATGATCTTCCAAAAAGCCCTTTGACTCAGCGGTCAGAGGTCACGTACCAGCAGGTGAGTCTGCAGAAAGGGCCAAACTCCAACCAAAAGACCTCTGATCTTCAGATTAACAAATCTTAAATCTTCAACCAAATGTGCTCTCGTCCCGATTAAGTGATTGCCAGATGTAATGCTCCTCACCTGAAAATGATACGCCTTACCTCTGCTTCAGGTGAAGACCACAGGTGAACCCCATGCCAGAGTGGAAAGTAAGAAGTGGTTCAAATAGCTCCTTGCCTTCTCCTAAGCGGATTAACCCTGACGTCTACTCTGTGATTATACCTTGGATGGGCCAAGCAATGCCACCATAGCAGCTGCAATGGTACAAGCTACTTGGTGAGAGTTTGCCGACACAACTAAAAATACTCTCTTCTTAATCCAAATCAAGAATGGTCAGCGTTTAGACAATTCCCTAGCACTGTCTGCTTTCTATTAATACACTCTTAAAAATAAAAGCCCTTTATTGGCATTTATGGTTCAATGAAGAACCTTTAACATCCACAGAACCTTTCAATTGCACAAAATGTTCTTTATAGTGGAAAAAGATTCTTTAGAATATTAAAATGTTCTTCCCAAAAATTGTTCAAGAACTGTTCACGGAAAGGTTCTTTGGGGAGCCCAAAATGGTTCTTCTATGGCATTGCTGCAAAACCCTCCTTTATTTTTAAGAGTGTACAACCGAAATGTAATGCACAAGATTAGCTGGAAATACATCTGTGCAGATTCTGAGAGATATAGATCAGTAATAATCCCATAAACTCCTTTCAATTTTTTATCACAGGATTTTCTAATTTAGAAAGTCTAATTTCCAAAGTAAAGCCCATCAGAATGAAATTCAATCTGATGTAACAACAAAAAAGAGACTATATTGCAGCAATAAACAAAATGTTATTTTTTCCATATATGCATGCAGATTCTGTATTTTTGAGCAATACATTTTGTACTATTATTAATATAAACGCAATGCATAAACAGAGCTAAAATAAGAAAGCAAACTACTGTAGCCCAAATAATGTCTTGTGAGTCTAAAATGAGATTAGAGATGCAACAACCATTGCAAATTCATGAATCCCACCCACACCTCTCCAGTTGTTCCTTCACATGGAGGAAATAGGTGAGAACATATGGCCGTTAATCAACACAGACTCGTCTCTCTGGAAAAAAAAAAGAGTCTGTTTATGCTATTGGGGATTGTCTCTTATACATACAGTATGTCTCTTTTGTTATGCAGTCATTGCAATCAGAGAAAACAAGAAACATCCGTTATTTATTATAATAACTTGAATGTGCACATAGGAATATTTTCATGAGATTTTCACATAGCTTTTCGTTTATTTTGACCTTCATCGAATATTGTAACTACAGCTAAATGTTCTGTCATGCTGCCTGGTGAACCTTCATTATTATTTTTAATTTTAAACCTTACTGCCAACTTAACAGTTGGTGGTAAGTAGAATTAGAAAGAGCTTTCAGAAGTGATTGCATCCAGCCAATGTAAAAGTAAAGTATAGAAAAGTATAGAATATTACTTTTACTAGATCATCATCATGAAATGAATAAAGATATACTTACAGTTTATATTATATTATTCATTATATAATAATTTATTAGGTAACACTTTAGTATATGGACCAATTATCACTATGAACTACTTGCTTATTAGCATGCCTATTATTAACATATTGGCTGTTTATTAGTACTTATAAAGCACATATTCTGTATATGACCATATTCTACATCCCTAATCCTACCCAATACCTAAACTTAACAACTACCTTACTAAATATTAATAAGCAGCAAATTAGGAATTGAGGCAAAAGTTGTAGTTAATGGTTTGTTACTAGTGAGAATTGGATCTTAAAATAAAGTGACAAGTTATTATAATAATACAAATATTTAATAATACAAAATGCAACCAGAGCACATAACCTTTTGTAACACCCACATCCAAACAAGATCTGATAAAAACTAGTTCAGTAAATGACATTGACATTTATAATTTGCAATTCAAACATTGCTTAGGAAACTAATCCTGTCCAAGAGTACTTTAGTCACTGTCATTGACTGAGATAATTCACCAAATGCTAATAAATCCTGGAGAAATGCACTAACCTACAGCCTTTATGAAATTACATGAAGAATCAAATTTAACAACAGACGTGTGCTGCTCTGACAGACCCCGCGTGTTCCAAAACAGACACAGGCTGTGTTCCAAAACCTACAGAGATGCCTACATAAGCAGCATTTCAAGAAAGGTTGTTCAAAAAGGTAATCTAGCTTTCTTTTGGCCAAACTGCTGCATCATATTTGTCATTGACAGAGAAGGTAATTCCGTAATGCAAAACTTTACTGAAAAATCTGGATGAAGGACACAGTTTATGATATATATTTTTGTGTGAGTAGACATTTACAATTCATTAAAAAAAAGAAAAAGAAAGAAAGAAAGAATCATGGAAAAATGGAACTTCATGTTCAATATTTGTGTCGCATTTAATATTTTCGAATATTTAATAATATCTTATAACATTGTAGCTCACTAGGTTTTCGAAAAGAGCCTCAAAGGGTTTTGCAGATGCTGCAGATTTTATAACAGATTAAGGAGGATTATTTTTTTGCATGTAATCTTTAAACTGTAAAATATTGAACATAATTTACATCAACTGAAAATTAGATTCTAAAGGGAGGGGGAAAAGAGATGGATTTAGATTGATTGAGATGGAAGAAGGTTAGAGAGAGAGAAAGAGGGATGAACTTGTGTTTCTGGTGATGTTCCTCTGCTTCTGAGTGATAATGGGCTTCATGAATAATAGAGCTCTGCTGTTCTGTTATATGAAGCTCTCTTCCGATCTCTCTTAAATCCTTGGACATGACTCATGCACTGCCTTGACCTCAACATGAAAAGTGTTTCTAAAAACGTATAGCAAGATAGTGGGGAATGTCCCAATAAACACTTTACTGTCTCTGAATGCTCTTGGTGAATATAAATTAGTACAAACATGGCAGTCAAATGCATTGGACAATGTTGATGCTAAAATGTTAAAAGTTAAAAAAATGCCTTCAGGCTAAGATGGTTGACCGATAGGGGTTTGAAGAAGGTTTGAAGAGCATGCCGAAGAAAATGCACAGAGCTTATTTAGCCAATCAGAAACTCAGCTTGTGCATTTTGGACTGCTGACATCAGATTTGACATGTCTTTGGAAAGAGGTTAGAAAAATGGCTAAATCACTTTAAAGGGTTAGTTCACCCAAAAATGAAAATTAGCCCATAAATTACTCACCCTCAAGTCATCCTAGGTGTATATGACTTTCTTCTTTCAGACGAATCCAGTCGGAGTTATGTAAAAAATTGTCTTTGATCTTTCAAGCTGTTTAATGCCACTCAGCGGGTGTTGCATGCATCAGTCCAAAAGAA